AAAAACACATTAAAACCAAAAACAAAATGTACATTCCATTAAAAATATCCACTCGACAATAATACATACAAAGGAACACTAATTACTGCAAAGAAGACAATAACATGCTTAAATAACAAAGCAAAAGAATAATTAAATAATAACAAACAATTACCCTTTACTTAAGATGACCTAATCAAGGCAAAAATAGTTCTAATATTCGATATAAATGACTTAATACATCTGCATATAATAAACATTCTTTGTCCATTGTGATAGAGTTCAAAGTCCTTGACATGACTAACCCTTGTGTGTGGAAGAATGCTTAAAGATTTGCAGAAATAAATTTCCATTGGAAGTTATTTTGCTTGTATTGGAATTTAGACTTTATTGCTTTACTTTAAGGTTTTATATTGTATGTAATTCTTAAGTTGCTATTACGTTTTTGTTAAATGTACAGTTAAGATGAACTTCTCTAGACGTCGGTTATGATTTTTTAATCAAAACAATTTTTACCGTAACGAAATCATATTGTACCAAGATTGATAGGCAACTAGCTTTTGCCCGCGATTCCATCCGCGTGGAATTAAAAAAAACAAATGCAATAACCTATGTTTTCTTCCAGACTATCCTCTACATCTATACCAAATTTCATCGAAATCCGTTCAGCAGTTTAGGCTACAAACTCTAACAAACATCCATCCATCTAAACTTTCGCATTTATAATAATACTATGAAGTATGATAACTCTATGATTTTTACAAATAATAAAAGTACGTAGAAGCCTTTTTTTATTTAAATGTTATTTCTGGATCATAATAGACAATATGCCATTTTTTATAAGCAATATCAGAAACATAACCTATGCTTTATTGTGGAAAAAAGACGTAACAATAAAACAGTAACCAAACTAAAGAAAAATAAATTAATTACGGTATTAATTATCCCTGAGTTTTAAAAGATCCAATAAATTCCTATCAAATTAACATAGTTAAAGCATTTAAAGAGATTATTATCTGAACGTTGTTAAAACAAGAAGTAAAGATAAGTTTAGTTGCAGAGGGCGCTGTAAACGTTTCCAACAGATTAATAAGCCAAGACGATCGAACAAGTTTGATGTACGCGGCCATCTTAATTGCGTTTACCGCCTTGAGATTTTATCTACATTTGTTACAGTATTTAAAACACCTAAATCTATACCAATATTATAAAGAGGAAAGATTTGTATTTTTATTTGTAAAAACTACCATAAATGCGTTTGTTATCAGGAGAATTTAATGTTGATTAAAAATGTCATTTACAGTATTTAAATTTGGCTGATAGTTTAGAAGATATCTCGAGCACAAACAATAAGGGTAACCGAAAAATCAGCTCACAAACTAACGGGCTTAGAAATTTGGAATCTTGCATCGGTAGATTTCTGTTATTACGTAGATTACTACTAAGTTAATACTTTTGATAATAGGTTGAATAAAGGGCGAACGTAAATTTTGAACTTTCAAATTTCACGCGGACGAAGTCGCGGGCAAAAGCTAGTTATCATCAGAGCCGACGCACACCTTTGAATATCGCACAACAGTTGTGCGATTGTCGATTGTTTCGCAGCTCGACTGTTTAGTTGCACAAATAAAACTAGTAGTGTGCGCACCTTCATATAAGCTTGTAGAAACAGCGCGACTAAACAGTTATACGATAGTTTAGTTATAGCTGTGAGCGCTTATAGGATCCAATCAGTATATTCAGATGTTCCAGATCTTCAATAGTGTCAACAGTCAATACGCGTTACCGGAACACTTGATACCGACAAGTTCAAGGGCCCATTACAGACAAACTTTCTCATAAACTCTTATATGTGTCAAGATACAATTTAGATTATCCGTCGTATTATGATTTAACAGAACGCGTTATAATTTTGTAACCTAGATATTTTTTTAAACTAATATTATAAATGCGAAAGTATAGATGGATGTTTGTTAGAGTTTGTAGCCTAAACGTTTGAACGGTTTTTGATGAAATTTACTAAAGACGTAGAGGATAGTCTGGAAGAACACATAGGCTACTCACTTTTTTTTTAATTATACGCGGACGGAGTCGCGGGCGGAAGCTAGTCATACTAATATTATAAATGCGTAAGTTTAGATGGATGTTTGTTAGAGTTTGTAGCCTAAACTGCTGAACAGATCTCGATAAAATTTGCCGTATACATATGTAGTGGTTATTCTGGAAGAACATAGTTTACTTATTTTTGTTTTTTTGTTTATTCCACCGGACGAAGTCGCGGGCGAAAGCTAGTCATGTCATACAGAACATATATAAAGTGTAGAATTAAAATTAAATGTCCATCGAATATTATAACTAAGTACATTTCATATCCAGTTAAAATAAAAATACATCAAATAATAAAGAATAGAAAACAGTTTTTGTATATCCGATAGTTTTTGTACTCTTTTTATAGTTCTTAACCGTCATTGGCCCAAGGTTTATGACGTCACAGGACTGAATTGCCCTTGCCGTCGTAAACATTCACAGAAAGTAACAAGCAAGGGTTCCTCAGAAAGAATAGAAATATTTTGTTGTTTTATTTTTTACCGTTTCCTATAATATAATGATTAATTTTCTCTCGATTACAATAAGGTTTGGATACCCTAACTGTAGACACCATATGTTGAGAAGGCGTACACGTTTGACTAAACTGTCGCACGACCGTTTAGTCTCGCTTTGATTCCTGTGATTTGTGCAACAAAATAGTTAAGGTGCGAAACAACCGACAATCGGACAACAGTTGTGCGATAGTTTAGTCAATTTGTGCTCCCGCTACACTAGATTATTCTCTCCCCTAAATCCATCTATAGACGTATAATAATAAATAAAAACAATAAAGATATTTAGGATGTAATGAGATAAATAAAATGATTAACTTTCGCAAGAAATTAAATTTATATAGCACTAGCTTTCGTTCGCGTCTCCGTCCTCGTGCAATAAAAAAACAAAAGTGAGTAGTCTATGTGTTCTTCCAGACTATCCTCTTCATCTTTACTAAATTTCATTGAAATCTGTTCAGCTGTTTGGGCTACAAACTCTAACAAACATCCATCTAAACTTTCGCATTTATAACATTAGTATGATTAAACGTATCTGCAACTCGACCAACGCAGACGTTGCACAAAGGTCCTATTAAGAGTATCCGTGACTGACGATTTCATTGGCTATGAATCATGCATTAAAGAGCATCTAACCATATTCAAAGACACAATTTCAAATACATTATCGAGTAGCTGTTGCCCGCGACTTCGTCCACGCAATATTAAGATAAAAAAGCGTATAATATGTCCGTCTATGTCAGCTACACGTCAGCAAAAGTCCGGTCTAAATTGTCCCAATAGTTTCGGAGATTACAAAGAACAAACACGGCTTGCGGACTGACAGACAGACAGACAGACAAAAAAACTTAAATGCGATTTTTGTTATCAGCAACGCAAATACATCACCTTCCCGAAATCTGGAACACTTCACTTCACTTCACACTTCTTTGTTGCCTAAGATGTCAGCAATTACAGCATATTTTTGAATATTTCTTTTTTTAATAAAAACCTCTACACTTACGTCACGCTTTAGGCTATATATTTTCACGCTATTAAACTTAGGGAGTAAATAAAGTAGATAAAATCCTAATGTGGGAAAGAGACCATAAGCTGCTGCCAACATCAAGGAAGCAAATTTACCATAGTAAGGTAGTTGGTATTTTGACTTTTGCAGTTGAAAATTTGACAAATCTAAACAATGTTATAAATTTTTATTAATTTCATGCGGATGAAGCCGCAGGGGAACAACTAGTTTTATTATAAGTACGAGTATAGAAGGCCATAGTAATAGCGGCACACACCTCTGACTAAACTATCGCTCAATTTTTGTCCGATTGTCGATTGTTTCTTAGCTCAACTGTTTAGTTGCATTAAAAATCGAGTAGTGTTACCTCCATATAAGCTCTTAGGAATCAAAGAGACTAAACAGTTGTGCGATAGTTTAATCAAATTGTACGCTTTAACCCTGAAATGTGCCTTAACTTACGTAACCGTTGACCCCGTGTTTAAAGTTATTTCTAAAAGAGTACAAAGATTTGTCTTGCGTAAGTTTTCTTGTAATTCTGTTCGTACGGACGTAGAATTATTTAAATAACATGACTCAGTACGGTGCGGTATTAACAAGGAAAAGTCAAGTTTTAATTAGCTTATTAAGATTTGCGTGATTACAATAAGGAAAACCGAAAGAAAACAATGAAAATAAAGATGTTAGGAAGAGAGTGGAATGTAAGAGAAACTGTAACGATAGTATTAATAAGTTACTATTAAACTAGCTGTCGCTCGCGACTTCGCCTGCGTGAAATTAATAATAGTAGTCTATGTTACTAACAGATAAATTACCTTTCTAACATTGAAATAATTTTTAAGATCGGCCGAGTAGTTTTTGAGTTATTTCAATACAAAAATACAAATCTTTCCTCTTCATAAAATTGGTATATACATAGTTCAATTAATAATAATATTATCGAAAAACCGAAATCGTTCAACAATAGCTTTCTTATCAACAGATTCTGAGCATCTACGACAATGAATAGAAAAAATGTTGAAGTGTTTGTTCAAATTTCTCTCAAAGCAATTGATAAAACAAAACCTTGTACATGACAAAAGAGTTGTATGAATCACTTGTTAAACGATACAAACACTTAAAAACCCGCGAGGATATCAAGCGGTCGAAAACATTAAATAAGGTTACAACATAAACGAACGGCGGCCATCAGAAAGCTCTATGAATTTGAGTTTATTTTTCATTCATCCAAACGACAAACACAAGTGTCCGACTTACTAACACAGATAAGGGAATTATGTCAACTAAACAATATAATTTCGACTTTATTACGTATAAATAAGGATGTAGTTTCAATAGAAGCGTTTGATACAGTCGCACATGGGGTATAGTAAACAGAGGAGAGCGACGCCGGCGCACGTTAACCAGTCGTTTGCAGAGAGCTCAGCCGAACGCACTGGCTATTGTACAGCACGCGACCAAACAGGCGCACGCGTCTAAAAAAATACAATACAAAAATTTTTCGGGAGTACCACAGGGGTGCGTTATTGGACCGGTGTTTTTTGTATCGGAAATAAAGAAGATTATTGGTGAAAAGCGTGATTTTACAAGTGATTTATTTAGTTCATTGCATGCAGATGCTGTTTGGTGAGTGATTTTGTAATATTTCTCTTTGAATGCTCTATTGTTTTAAGGCGGGAGGTCTTTTTTTTCAACCGGTATCAGTGGTGCTTTCATCTCCGTTTGTTTTATTTTATTTATAAGTTTATCATGTTCTAATTAAAGAGCAGTAAATGTGTTAATGGTTGCTGTAAAGTTTTACGAGTTTTCGCTTGAAATGTAAATTTTATCGTCCGAGATGGTAGAACGGGTGCGTAATGCATGTACTTGAACTTTTGTTCGCCAGTGTTTTGTTTACTTCGGGTTTATTATCTAGATAGGAAGATAACTACGCTTGGTTTAGTTTGTGGATGAAATTCTTGTAAACTATCCAAGTTTTTTCCTCATGATTATGGAGTCATTAGAAAATATTCTTTGATTTCAAAAATAGTGTTACTTTTACATTTTCTATTGAAGGCAAATCAATTACTTTAGGTTTTTAACCTGAGTCTTTTAAAAAAATGTTTTAAAGTTATCTTAATTTTGAAGATCGTTTATCTATTCTTTTGTTTGGTTTTAAAAAATTTACAATGTTATTTTATCTTGCTGTTTTCATATCTTATCAGATAATGTTAGAAATTTAATTTATAATTTATCATAGATAAAATGCGTGTTTTATAATTGCGGTAGCTACTTTATACTCCGATTGTTAAGTCTATAAATTATTGGGTATAGAATAGAATATATTTATTTGAAACAAATGAAGACCGAACGTATGGATTGTTTGAAAGAGGATGTTTAAAGGAGTGAATGACGGCTGATAGAGATGTATGGAAGAACAAGCTGTATCGACCTTCAGTAGGACAAATAACTATTAAGACAAGCGATTCGCAATTGTTTTATTAATTCAATTGTTTTTTTTTTAAAATAAACATGGCATGATATTAGAGTCAATAATTGATTACCAATAATATTTTGCCTCGCCCAAGAATTAAATCGAGTCAGTATAAAAGCTTAATAACTACTGTACTTCTTATTATGTGTACCAGTTTTAGTTGAACATATAATTGGCAAGAATACGGTACAAATTCGTGAAAACGTTTACAAGGAAATGTTCTCGTTCCGTTTTGCAAATGTCACAGAAAGTCGTTACACTTCACAAATATTATTTTGGATAATCTACAATTTGCGATGTCAATTTTTTATTTCTTAATATATAAGTTTAATAATGGAAACAATGTGTTTATTATTCAGATATTAGGAAGATATCATATATACAATTTAAAATCGTTAGCAACTTAATGATCAAATATTTGATAATAATAACCTAAAGTCTTGATATTTTTCTGACGCAAAAATAATGCGTATTCAGTTTTTTTACGGACATTTTAGTTGTAATGCTAAATAGAATGTTTTGAGGTTAAGTTTAACGTGGATTTATAAATAAGGAAATATTTCTTTGTCATCAATATTGAGATTCGATTTAGGAAAAAAATCCAGAATTTTTTGACGTCACGTTAGATATATAAAAGTTCGGATTTTCACAACTCGGTCAGCGCCCAGGTCACCTAGTATTAATTTCAATAGTTTACTTGCTATATTTTCATGTTCTTTTTGACTTTTTTTTAGACACATCGCATCTTTTTAAACATCTCAAACCGATTTGTTATTCTTCGATTTTAATTCATTTGTTTTAGCGATCGTCATTTTTTTTCATAAATCTGTTTTTGACATTTGTTGAAAAACAAACGTAAGGATTTTTTTTTTTACAACCAATGGGTTAATAAAATGTGTGTTTTTTTCATTTATTGATTATTAAAAGAATGTAGAACTAATAAGTATGTTGAAACTATAAGATGTTTAAACTGAGAATTTGCTCTGTACAAATATTATCATTTTTATCTACCGTGTTATAGTTTTTTAAACAATGTGATTGCGCTGAGCCGGAGCGGTTCAAATATTTAACTGGTACCAGTTTAACTGTTATTCGAGTCACCGTCCAGTTATAATTATGCGTCAAACTGAACGCTGTTATGCAATCTATACTATTATAATAAAGCGTAAACACACACTTATTTGTTGCCTAAGATGTCAGCAATTACAGCAAATTTTTGAATCATTATTTTTTTAAATAAAAAGCCCTACATTTGCGTCACGCTTTAGACTATATATTTTACCGCCATTAAACTTAGGGGGTAAATATTTTGGATAAATACTCTAATGTGGGAAAGAGGCCATAAGTTGCTGCCAACATCAAGGAAGCAAGATTGTCTTCATGTCATGTCATTTTGACATTTGTAATTGATAATTTGACAAATGTAAACAACAAAATATTTTTTTTATAATTTCATGCGAATGAAGTCGCACGGGAACAGCTAGTTAATACACTACGTTGTTTTAAAGTAGTTTAAAAGCTTTGGATTTTCCAATCTGCGTTTTACAGTACCTTAGGGACGGTCGACACATACATCTCTTTTAGCCGTTATATCTGAATTCACTCCCTTAAGCATATCCTCTTTCACACAATCCATAAATACTCCGGTCTTCCTCCACCTTTGTACTTTGTATCTAATATTTTTAAATACTTTCTTGTTTATAAGATTACTAGCTTTCGCTGGCGATTCCGGTTGGAATAAAAAAAACTGAGTAGTCTATGTGTTCTTTCAGATTATCCTCTACATCTATACTAATTTTCATCGAGATCCGTTCAGTTGTTTAGGCTACAAACTCTAACAAACATCCATCCATCTACACTTTCGCATTTATAATATTAGTATGATAAACTCGCCGTATATGTCTGTTATTACGCTTATTAAATTATGGATTGTCTTTGAGGAAAATAAACACGGATTTAATATTTAGGTTGTTTTTGAATATTATTGTTAAATGTGAAATATTGTTATTGTGAGTTAAGTTTACGTAAAATTATTTATTTATTTTAAACAAGCTGTCCACGCAATATTAAGATAACAAGTAGCCTATAATATGCCCGTCTATGTCAGCTACCATTCAGTGAAAGTTCGGTCAAAATCGGTCCAGCCGTTTTGGAGATTACCCGGAACAAACGCGGCTTGCGGACAGACAGACAGACAAAAAAATTAAATGCGATTTTCGTTATCCGCAACGCAAATACATCATCCTTTCGAAATCTGGAAATTTCTTTTGATATTACAAACAGACACTCCCATTTTATCTATACTATAAGATTTGGATTTTTGTATTTATTCGATTCACGTAAAAATTACTGGGTCGATTTCAAAAATTCTTTCACTATTAAAAAGGTAATTTATCTGTGTGTAACATAGGCTACATTTTTTATTATTTTATAATTTCACGCGGCCGAATTCGCGAGCAACAGCTAGTAAATTATATAGTGCAGGAGTCAAAGCTCTCATGAAATGTATATTTTTAAAGTGAAATAATAAAGGATTATTATTATATACCTACGCTTCTATTCTATTATAAATATCATATTCTGAACGATCATAATTATATCTCTATGATTTCTTTGATAAACCTAGTTCGTTGTAAATTCTGCAATATGCAAAAACGCCTCAACCAATGCGGTATACGATTTGTTACATCCATACATGCATCCATCATTCTGACAGCGACTCGATTAAACTAATGCTTTGATGATAATACGATAACTGAACATTATTTTACTTAGTAAATCTTCGTATTCCTTATAACGATTAAGTATTTAAAAAGAACGGACGCACCGTTAACTAAATTATTAAAAAATTAGCTGTTCCCGTGCGACTTCATCCGCATGAATTATGAAAATTTTATTTTATTGTTCACATTTGTCAAATTATCAATTGCAAATGTCAAAATGACGACATGACAAACCATGGCAACCTTGTTATCTTGATGTTGGCAGCAACTTATGGTCTCTTTCCCACATTAGGGTTTTCATCCAAAATATTAACCCCCTAAGTTTAATGGCGTGAAAATGTGTCGTGGTGTCGTGTGAAACGTGTTACTATCATAATAAAGTTTGTGTTTACGCTTTATTATGATAGTATAGATAGATTTAATAGTTACAGGGAGGTTATGAAGACATACCGAGTAAAGTAACATTCAAACATTAGTATAAATAATAAAAATAGTAACGAAATGGGATTTTAATCGTATTTATACGGTGTACTGATTTAAATAATTATGGTCAACCTAGTGACTGGCTATAAAGGCCGGGACAATTTCATCCAATCAAATAACGAGAACAATTTAAGTGATCGAAATTCTTCTAATCATTGACGAGTTTAATATCGAATAATATTTCATACTTGTTCGTTGTCTTTGACGTTTGATCATCGAGCAATAATAAAGATTTAATTTTTGAACTATGTCACGGAACAATTGTGAATTTCGTCTGTTTACGAACTAGATATCATTGTCTTGGATGGATGTCTGTTAGTTTGTAGCCTATTGATTAATGGATCTTGATGAAAGGCATAAATGTAGAGGATAGTCTGGAAGAACACATGCTATTGACTTTTGTTTTTTAATACCACGCGGACAGAATCGCGGGCGAATGCTAGTATTCTAATAAAGTGTGGGTGTAAATCTGTAGTCATGATTTTTATGCTATTTTAATAGAAAAAAAGGCCACAAATCTCTATAATTCTTTAATCAGACAAGTATAATAGTTTTCATATATTTTAGTGGACAAAATGGAACACAATTTTAAAGGTAACCTTAGAAGACTTTGAGACGGCAAGATATTTGAAAAGGGTTATACGTCTTTTTGTATTGACTTTTCGATTGTTTCATTTGTTGAAATTTATTCCATTATTTTTTTACATTTACTAGATGTCTTACTTCTAACTAATATTATAAATGCAAAAGTTTAGATGGATGGATGTTTGTTAGAGTCTGTAGTCTAAACGGCTGAACGGATCTCGATTAAATTTGGCATACACGTAGAGGATAGTGTGGAAGAACACATAGGCTATTCAATTTTGATTCTTTGAGTTCCACGTGGACTGAGTCGCGGGCAAAAGGTAGGTGACTTTATTAGGTTACTGACAATTTCATCAATTAGA